AAAGAAGTTCGTTGTTTTTTTTTCTTTTTTTAGCTTATTGTGTTAATAAATCTAGCATTTAAGGTGTAGTCAGAGATATCATGGTAAAAAATAATATCTATGATAATATTATATACACATAAAGAAAAAAATACATTACACGTCTTGGCAAACACCTAAGAAATGCACAAGTTGAAGGAAAAACCGTATTTTCCCCGTTTTTTTTTTTTTTTTATCTCTGGATTTTAATTTCAAAATGCAAAAGCGCCGGCTGTTTTGCATTTCAAAGCTGTTGGAATAAAGAAGAAAACTTTTACTTCGACACATTAAAACCGAAATGAAAGCTTTCAACATAACTGGAATAAATGAAAAACCATGTGGACACGATGATGTGAAATTTGCTTTGGCGCGACAACACAATGCTTACGTGTGCTACAATAAGCCGTGTTATATTATCAAGTTTAGTTTTTTTGTTCAAGTTGGCTTACCTTGAACCCCCCCGACCTCTTCCCCCTCCCCCCCCCAAAAAACAAACCGTTTTGGAAAATTTGCGACGCCTATGTTGTGTGTGTGTAGGTACGTGGTTCTTATCCAGATGGTTTGCGCGACTGATTAATTGTAAAGAGCCATCGACGATGGTCGCGTACGAGGGCGAGCGAGCGGGCGCGAGCGAGCACGCGGACAAACGAAGACGTACGAGCGGCATGCCGCGGCTTTCCGTGCCGCGCGTGGGATGGTGGTGGAGTGTTTAGCCGAGGGTGGAGGGTTGAGAGCGCGAGCGCTTTTGCGATAAGGGCGAGATGCCCGGCTCGCCGCGACTCGCGATCGGCGTCGTGGATAAGAGTTAGACAATAATCTTTTAATAGAATTGGAAGAGGCGAAAGGACGAGTCGGCGTGTCGACCGCGTTCCGCGCGTTTAAAACGCGCTGCCGCCGACACCAACGGCTGCCGTGCGCGCCGAGGAGGCGAAGCGTATAGATATAGGATCGCGTGCAGACACACGTGGTGTGTGCGCGCGTTCTGCCTCTTTGTCCGCCTTGAGGTAGCCCCCCATAACAGCGTTGTGTCATAGCAGTTCCTATGGTATCGTTGAAGTAACTAACACACGAAAGAAAGAGTGAAGGGGAGAGAGAGAGAGAGAGAGAGAGAGAGAGAGAGACAAGTATATATTGGGTAAAGAGGGGCGAATTTATTATGGGAAAGAGAGAAAGAAGGGAGGAGAGAAACGAGGCCGCGACAGTGACGACGGTGATGGCAGTTTTCGCGAAATTACCGGGTTCGTATCGGTATACGCGGACGCGAAGGCGTAGGGGAGGAGGAAAAAAGGGGGACAAGAGGGTGGCTGCAACTTGACGTGTGCACGGAGGCGGAAGGAGCGAAGAAGTGCGGGGTGGAGAGGGGGTTGCAGGGCAGGGTGACTATGTTGCATGCGTGCAGGGTGAGTTGGCGCGAGGGCGCGAGTGGCCGGGAACACAGGGGAACAAACTGTAAAAGGGGGGGGGGAAGGAGAGTATCACGTGAACACAGGGCAGCGAGTCGCGCGCTAAAGTTCTCTCTCTGCAAACATGGCAGTCGTCACGCAAGTCACAAAACCCGCCAACGATATCTCGCTCGACTTCGCCTCGCCACGGGAAAACGGCGAGTATATGCACACGTGTGTGTGTGTGTGTGTGTATATATATATATATATATATATACATATATTCGTGCGAGACCACGACGTGTTACACGCAAGCGAGTTTGCTTGCTCACAGAGCTCGGCATCGCCACCCATCGTCGTTTATTTGAGCGTGTTAAGAGAGCGAACGAGCAGATTTAACGCGCGCGCGCGCGCACGCATGCGTTTCCGTCCAGGTATCCAAGTAGCAAAGTGTAAGTGGGTAAATGTAAAGAGAATCCTTTTTTTTTCACCGCATCCTTTCTCCCGAGTCTTTTTCCGTTTCCTTTTATTTTCGGCGGCTGCAAATGTGAGCGGGGCGCGCGCGCGCGCGCGCTCGTAAAAACGATTTAACCAGCGCAGCGCGCGCGGCTCGCGCGTCTTCGCGCGAGAGAGAATCGAAACCAGATATCTCCTTTCCTTACCTCCTTCGTTTGTCTCATTCTCTTTTGCATCGCGCCCGATACGGCGCGATTGAAGCGGGCGAAGAAGGCGTGTGGCGAACCCCGAGAAGGCGAAGGAGCTGAAGGCAAAGGCACCTTCCTCGCCTTCTTAGCCTTAGCGCGGATGGATCGGGAAATGAATCCGGCTATCTCAAGTCGTTATCAAGCACGAGCCTTAATGCTTAGTTTACACGTCAGGTAGCCGAGGCACTTGCTCGGCCTGTTTCTATTAGCCGTTCGAAAAAGCTAAGCGGGCTAGCTCGTTACCTCTTTCGACAGGATAGTGATAGAGGAGACAAGCCAGCGGCTAAGGTTTTGCTGCTGCCGCACGGTCGTTTTGTCTACCGTCACGTTACTTGTGTGTATTCGCGATGTTTATGCTATCTCATCCGCATGCGCATGAATATATTACATGCAAACATTATTTACGTATAAAAAACCAATGTTAACCGTAACATTGTAAATGAGAAACCGCATGAGATTTTGTCCAAGTGTGAGATGTTGCTTCAAACAAGAGATTTTTTTCTTCTTACGTATATTACAATTAAATATAACGTCTCAAATCAAAATAAGAATGTCCAAAAGTTAGTTAACTTATTTAATGAAACATAATTTTTTTTTTTTTTTTTTTTTTTTTTTTNNTGAAAGATGACGATCGTATCGTATTTTGAACCGACGAGAGACTCGACTTGTGTGTCACTAAAAGAAACACTCGTCAAGGCCAGCGAACACACCGCACACACAACCCTGAATAGCGTTTCGCAAGAATGATCCAAATAACGAACTTGACGGTGACGCGTGGCGCCTACCCTTACTCGATACCTGGTGAAAGGTGTGCTCTTGCACACAAACCTCGAGGACGCTCAAGCGTATTATTGCCGAGTTCTCTTTCTGAAGTGGTGAACCAGATATCCACGCCCAAATCCGCACGCGCGGATTTACCAGTTATAGTTATTGAATAACGAGTAACCAACGAGTCAGAAAAATTGGTGCAAAGAAAAATCTCAAAATCGCAAACAAGCGCAATATATTATATTATATTATACGAGAGACAGCGAGCAATTGCGAGAAATGTATTTCATTTACGTAATGTAATAAAAAAATATAAATTTTTCAATCGGCATTATAAAAGTTTGCGAAAATCTCAAAGCTACGTATCAAATTTAAATGTCATAAAGGAGAAAGAAAAAACCAAATAGAAAGCTTTCTCTTTTTGACTTAAAACAAAAAAACAAAAAAAAAAGTTTCGATCTCATTTAACTTCAACTAGCGACAAAAAGTTTCCAAGTGATGCCCCTCGCGAACTATGGACGAAATATTATTGTGCGGACTTCTGTCTGCTCTCCATTATTCCAATCCAATAATAACGGAAAAGGGAGGGCGTTGTCGGATACAATGGAGTTCTATCGCGAGAGATCGGCGGACAGAAATCGGGACGCCGTCCCGCGAGATACACTACAAGGAGATCGAGATCATAGAGGCGATTCTCTTGCACACGCCTAGATCTGATCGGCGGCGGTCGGCAACTACGCGCTGCAAATAATTACAGCCGTCCTTACATTCCATAGCAAGGCGGGCAAACTGGTTCCAAGCGTGGTTGCTTGCGCTAGGATATGAAATGCGCTTGTAAAGGAAACCATATTTCTTCAAGTATATCATGCGTGTTACTCAGCTTTTCATTTTTTTTTCTTCTTCTTTTTTTTTTTTTTTTTTTTTTTAAACAGATGCCAGGATCAATAAACCGCACCAACATTTTACAATTTTTCACCATGCATTTGAAGATTTTAAAATCCAAGCGAAGAAGATGAGGCGAGTTTCGTTGCGTTACATCACGATGTTCTATTACAAGGTTGCCTTTTCACGTCGGGCTCCTCTAATTGGATTTCCGTCTCATCAAATTTTATTACAATACGGTTAACGTCGAGATTATTTCAATTGGTCCGGGATTATCGCAAAAAAAGAAAACAAACGCATTAAATTAATGAAATTTATATATATATAATATATATAGCAAATTTAATGATTTCAAGCTTTCAAAAAGCTATGCTGCGAATAATAATCGCGGATCTTCGATTAGCGTTCGAGCGTTTTACTCGAGCGCGCGATAATATAACTTCGATGGTGTTTTTATTCGTCGCGGAAAGATTTCGCAAACAACAGAAACGTACACCTCCGCGCGGTAGCGGTCGTAGGCGCATTAATAATGTAAGTGTGCAGATGGTGTGCAGTGAGTGCGCGGCGCCGCTGACTAGGATCAATGTTCCGTTCGCGATCTATATAGCCGGTACGCGGCCGCGCACCGCGATATATAGGTAACGACAGAGAGAAAGAGAGACAGAGAGAGAGAGAGAGAGAAAGAGAGAGATATATATATATATATAGAGGGCTATGTGGGAAACAACACGGTCGTTCGCTTTTGCCTTCCTTCCTCCTCCACCGATACCCTAGTCCCCGCGCTCGGATAATGCATTTGCGAATATTTTAACCAATCGTAGCGCAAAATTACCATATGGAAATAAGTCTCTTCTCTCTCTCTCTCTCTCTCTTTCTCCTAATCGATCCAAATTTCGTCACAACAATCCGCGGGGAAAACCAAGAGACTCCTCCTCCTCCTCCTCCTGCGATCAAAGAAAAGGTTCTTTATGTGAACAAACATCGTTCTCACGTGTGTGTGTATGTACTCGCACAAATCTCGGTCGAATCGAAGTATCAAGCAGTATATTACAAAGATGAGTAGTAACGTATTTTATAAATTTATTCACATGATCTTTTTTTTTTTTTTTAAATAAATCAAGTATACAGTGAAGTCTGACGGTACATGCGCTGACACAGACGCTGCGAGCGTCTTCTCCTCTCACCTTCGCCGAAAAAACTGCACATGCCTTTCGCTTATTTTTTTTTTTTTTTTTGTTTCTCACTCTTTTTTTTTTTAATTCTTATCCTCTCTTTCACGCGGCGAACAGTATCTTACACGAAGGCGCGGCGCGACAAAGAGAACGCGTTCTCAATTATACATATTTACATTTATATCGTACAACCACCTATCCTCCTCCTTCCTCTTCTCCTCGGTTTTTTTTTTTTTTTTTTTTTTATCTCTCTCTCGCAGACATATAAAATTACAAAAAGTTATCTACCTAGAAGTCGAAGCTAGCGTCATAACTCTCTATTATGCGGCGACGACATTCAAGTGACATCGTCAATCACGTGTGTGGATGTGTGTGTGTGTGTGTGTGTGTGTGTGTGTGTGTGTGTATATATATATATACATACATGTACAATGTACATACGCATGCAAACGCAATAGTTGCGTAATAGCGTATTATTTACATTCGCAATAAAGAAATAAATATTTACACTAGGGTTCTCACAACGCGTATCACCGCCGAAGGGATGGTGTGTGTCAGTCCGCGAGAATTATATGCGAGAAACGAGTACTCTTCTCTTGTATACGTTCGCGCGCGTATCGCTCTTGAATGAAGACGGAAGAACGTACCAAAGGATTTCTAACCCTTTGCACGCCTGATAACAAATAGCCTACGTGTCATGTGCTCTTCGTGAAGTTTTTCCTTTTACAAAAAAAAAAAAATTCTATTTTTAACAAAATGAAAACTAGGATCTTACAAAGCACGGGAATCATCGGTCTAGACGAACGAGAGACGAAAAAAATTAAAAGAATCGCAATTTTTAACCCAATATTTATTTATAATTTTATTTTATAAAAATGATGATTCCCGTGCTTTGTAAGATCCTAGTTTTCATTTTGTTAAAAATAGAATTTTTTTTTTGTAAAAGGAAAAACTTCACGAATTTTAATTTTATTTTTATAAAATAAAATTATAAATAAAGTATTTGACGATGATTATTTGCGAGTAATACATTGGTTTTTTTTGGGACAAATGTGAAAAACAATTTTTTTTTTCAAGCATCCTTCTTTTTCTCGCACCAGGCATGCGAAGAGTGTTGAAAAAGTTATTACAAGTTATATCGACGAAAAAAAAGTCAATATTATAACGAGTGTTTTCTGAAATAGAAAAGTTACAAAAATTTAAAAAAAAAATAACTATCATCATAGATTAATATCATTTCTGAAACAAAGTTTACGTATAAATAGACATATTAAATTTATATTTTTATACCAAAAAGCGAGAGACTTTTTTTATACGAGAATGAGATTCTCGCGAGATTCTCGAATCCAGCACACGCATACAAGGACAATCAATTACACGCTTGAAAAAGGCGAGGTATTGTAATAATAAACAAAACAAAATTCTCGTCAACAAGAAAAAATAAAAACGACTTATTATCACAATTATCCGCAAAATGTTAATTAACATAACGCGAACACTTCGTCCCTTAGTTCCCTTTGCGACGACGTCTCTCTAAATTATGTACACGTGTCTCTTGTGGGAGTTCGCGACTCGATCGCGCGCAGCGTCTTTGGGAATTCAGTCTATCGATGCCGTCGTCAATCGGGCGTCACGTGGGCGAACACACAGAATTTCAGCACAACCTTACGAGAACGAGAAATCGACTATCGTCGCTCGTCGCTATCATGTTCGAGTCGACGGTTTCCACGATTTCGTAAATACGTAGCGTTTTCGGGAACACCTGGGGTAACGATCGCAAGTAGCTAAACCAGATAGGCCTGTCCCGAGGAAGGCGGAGGTGGCGGTGGGGGCGGTTGCCTCCAGGCAGTCTTCTCAAGGGTGGAATAATCCGAGTCGATGGACGAGTAGATGTGCTCGGAAAGCGGTCTCCTGTGGTCATCGCTAACCACGCTGCAGTTGCTGTTATTGGCGGTAGCGGTGGTGGTGGTAGTGACGAGATTATCTGCCGGCAGCGTCACGTCCCGGTAGGCATGATTGATGGTCAGCCTAGGCTGTACCACCGGCGACGACGACGGCGGCATTTGCTGTTGCTGTCCCAACATAGAGGGAAGTGGGGTACTACACGAATAAGCGGGAGGCGCGTGTTGCAACATTAGCGTCGACGAGGAGTCCTTGAAGAGCGCGCCGCGCTGACCGCCGCGCAGCGTCGACATGCTGCTCTTTTCAAGACTGCCTATATCGCTGTCCAAGGTGTAGGTGTTGATGTTACGCTTGTACACCAGAGGCGACGACTTGCTCTCGACGACGTTGCTGACAGCGGTGCCTGTGGTTGTGTTGGCGCTTGTGGCGATGATGGCGGTCGTCGTTGACGGCGGCAACGCGTATCTCAATCGTTCCCAGAACCTCTTCTCGCCCCACGTGAGTATAACAGCGGCCGTTCTCAGATAGGGTCGCAATTCGGGATCGCGTTCGACCTCGACGCCAATCTGACCGATTTGGATAACGATTAACTGAGAAGCGCGGCCGCGCAACGCTTCGTGCAGCGCCGCACGAAACTCGAAACGTGACCATTCGGTGTGCAGAAAATCGCGAGTCAACACGATCAGCACGCGTCGCGACGCGTCCACCGCTTCGAGAACAGCGGGCGCGGGGGCGGAAGCGCGTAACACGCACGGCAGGTCCCGATGATGAAGACAAAGTCTCAAACCGCTCGCTCCGTGCTCCAATTCGTCCGCCAGCGAGTGCATCACGAAGTCCTCGTCGTGCGGACTGTAGCAAACGTAACAGTCATAAAGACGATCCCGATCGTCGCAACAGCCCGCGGTCATCGCGGCTGCGACCCCCATACTCGCTGTGGTCGTGGCCTTGCCGGATTTCGTGCGTAAAAATCGTAGTCCGTACTTGGAATAGGCCCAGGCGCCGACCGGTTCGCGAAACACGAAAGCGAGCACTATGATAACAAGTAGAATGAGAACGGCCGATAGAGTGGCGGCTACCAGTGGTAGATAGTCCGACACCATAATGCTCTCGATCACGCCACCCTGAGCGAAGTAGTCCGAACAGGCGGTCTCGTTTACGTTAAGACGACGTCTATAGGCCGGCCTGAAATCACCGCCGTAGTAACACCAAACATCGCCGGTGTCGATAACTTTGTGCGCGTTGTCCGACACCCAGGAGGACAATTCCTGTAGAAACTTGCAGCGACAGGACCAGGGATTGCCACCGAGCGACAGCTCGACCAGTCGTATGTTCAAAGTGACCTGCCACACCGGAAAGGTCACCAGACGATTCCCATGTAATCGTAAGATCTCGAGCGAACGCAACGGTAAAAAGGTTAAATTGCCAATAAACCCGATGACGTTGTTTTGCAAGTAGAGTTCGCGCAAATGCCACAACCGTTCGAATTCGAAACCTTTGAGCTCGCGTATCCGATTGTCTTCGAGATGCAAAATCAGTAGATTGGTGAGGCCGTTGAATGTGCGGTTCTGAATGGTTTCGATTCCGGTGGCGTTCACATACAATACGCGCATGTTCTTGCGGCCGACGAACAAGTGGTCGTGAAGTTCATGAAACACGTTACCGTCTAGGTACAATTCGGTTGCGTCAGCCGGTATTCGACGCGGTATTTCGGAAACTCCGAGACCCGAGCAGTCGACGACATTTGTGTTCCACGTGCGATCGTTGTAGCACCTGCAACCGATCGGACACTTCATCTCGCAGTCGCATGTGGTGTAGTCGCAGCAATGGCAAAGGGCGAAGCAATGTTTCTCGTAGCGACAGAGAAACTGTTCCGAACGGGCGGTTGATGCCGGTAGAATGGCAACTCCTCGCGGTCCCAACGTACGGCACATGGCGTTGTCAAGATCCATGATTCGCGGATATTCCCTCGAAGTTTGATTATTGATGGCCGGCAACCAGTCCATCGAACAGTTGCAGTTGAAAGGATTGCCGCCTATGTAGAATTCTGGCAACGGTCTGTTATCCGGCACTTTGGTCAGCAACAACGACGTCAGCTCCATCGTCTCGATCATATTGGCGTATATGTCCACGCGAGTTAGATTCACTTTGTTGGTAAACGTGTTTGGGCGCACCACGCTTATGTAGTTATTGTTAATAAATAATAATTCCACGCTATTCGGCACGGACTGCGGCGTGAGTTCGGTAATACGATTGTGACTGGCGTCTAAAGTCTTCACTTTGGAATTACGGATGTTATAGTAATTGCTCAGATTTTCGATATAGTTGCCGTGAATATCGAGCCACTTTAGACTGTTGGGTATGAAAGCGTAGTCAAACCACTGAATATGATTTTCCGACAAGTTTAGCAACAGCAAACTCGTGATCTTGTTGAACACGCCGTTGATGTTCGACAGGAAATTACCGTCAAGACGGATCGCCTCCAGTCGATTGTTTCGCTCAAACGCGTGTTGCTCTACATGTTGCACTTTGTTATGGGCCAAGTTGAGAATTTGTAGATTCGGCAGGTCCCAGAGCATGCCGCGGGTCAGATTGCCGATGTCGTTGCCGATCAAACGAAGGCCGGTGAGTTGATGGAGGTTGCGAAAAGATCCGTTGTGAAACTCGCTTATACGGTTCTCGCCGAGATCGAGGGTCTTGAGAAAAGCGAGGTCGCGCAACGCGTCCGGCACGGCTGCGAGTTCGTTGCCGCTGAGATCCAGTTCCTTGAGATCGGAACAGTTTCGAAACGCCACGCTGTCGATATTTGTAATCGAGTTTCCGGACAACGTCAGTCGATTCAACACAAAGAGACCGTTAAACAGCTGCGCTCCCACAGTGTGGAGACGATTGTCGGACAGCTGCAGCGTGTGAAGATTGTAAAGCGGTAGAAAAGCGTTGCTCTCGATACGATCGATCGAGTTGTTACGTAGGTCAAGGATTTGTAGGAAGAACAGATCTTTGAACATGCGAGCGTCGATGTGCGTCAGCAGGTTGTACGATAGATCAAGAACAATCAAGCGAATCAGGCCGTTGAAGGTGGTTTCGTCGACGCTGTCGCTGCCGAGACGGTTGTTGGCGAGATTCAGCACCAGAAGCTGCTCCAACTTTGTGAACACTTTTTGCGGCAAGTCGCGCAATCCGTTGTACGCCAGATGTATTACCCGTAGTTCGCGCGTGTTAGCAAACAGTCCTTCGGGCAGCGAGTCCAGGGCGTTGTGGCTGGCGTTGAAGGTGCGCAGAGCGGTGAGACCGTTCAGCGCGTTCTTGTCAATTTCGGAAATCGCGTTGCGTTGCAAGTGCAATTCCTGCAACTGTCGCAGGCTCGCCAACGGCCCTTTCTCGGGTAATCGGCGAAATTCGTTACCCGACAGATCCAAAATCCGAATATCGGCCCGACAGGATTCGCCGTTGCCGTCGTCGACGGCGGTTCCAGGCGGTTCCGTCAAACCGATGTCGTTGATGTCGCGGATGCGATTACCGGTAAGATTGAGAGTCTGCAAATTGTCCAGTTCACAGAGCAGACTCGACGGTAATGCCAGCACATTGCTCTCGATTATCTCTAGAGTGTGAAGCTCGCGGAGACCCGCGAGAGAACGTGGCGCGAATTCCAGATATCTAGCAGCGCCCCATACCGCGTTCAGAGTCTGAACGACGAGCCGTTTAAGTTCGAGCAACGGTTGAAACGCGCCCGCTGGTATTTGCAACACCTTGCAACCGTGCACGTGCAACTCGTGAAGAGCGGCCAACCGATGCCAGATCTCTGCGCTCAAATTGCTTTCAAAATGGTGCACGTCGCTGCAGCTGATTCGAAGTTTGACCGCGCCATCGAGCGACGGCGCCAGAGCGACAATCGTCGCTGGGTCCAGGATGCGTAGGGCGCAAACCGCCGAACGGGTTTCGTTGCCGGCCTCGCTTGTCCATCTGCAGGAAGCCGCGGCTGAACCAAGATGCGTGGACATGAGCAACAATAGCAGAGTTGCCGCGATCAAACGTTGTAACGGTGCGTGTAACGCCAGTGTCCATGTCGTCAATGTTGACGACGATGTCGTCAATGATGCCGTCGACGACGACGACGTTGTCCATGATCTCCACGATGGCGATGCTGCAAATACTGCCGTTGTAACGACGTCACTCGTCGTCGTCGTCGTCGTCGTCGTCATATCGCGTCGCATTTTCACAGAAAACTCTTCGATATCTTTTTTTGCTTTCGACGTAAACGTCGAGGTTGCGCGTCGGGACGACGATGATGACGACCACAATGCTCACTTATATTTCAGGGTAAGCCCTTAGGAGCCTTCCCTTGCTTTTCTTTTCTCTTCATTCACACAAACACACGCGTATTTCGCGTGTCTCACACACATACGTACACAACAGCCACGACGACGACGACGACGGCGGTGGCGGCGGCGGCGGCGGCGGCGGCAACGGGGAGGAGGACGTCGATGACATACGAACGCACGCCATGTACACACGCACAACAGAGCTCGCCGAAGGGAGAAGCACGCGCGCGCGCGCGCGCGCTTACGCACCTCGTATCACGTATTAAACTCGGAGCGACCCATTTCCTTTGCCCTTTATTTCGCGAGTTGGTCACCAACCACAAAAGCCACCCCGCTGCCGCCACAAGATGCCGCACCACCGTTTTTTTTTTTTTTTTCTTCAGTTACTCGTGCGCTTTTAACGATACCCGTCGTCGTTTTACCCCCCTTTGTGTGTATGTCAACCTCCTCTCCTTTCGTGATTCCGTAAGCGAGCAGCGTTCCTTTTACCCTGTTCACCCTCGTATCCACCTCGTATTAACTAATATCTAAACTCTCACGAGGGGGATAAGCAGCGTGCTTTCGCCTTCTCGTAGATTTTTTTGTCTATTGGATTAATTCGATCTGGCACAAAGGCGCTCAAACGAAAACAAAATTTTCCTCGTACGAGCGCGAGCACTCGAGGCACTCGTGCTGTACCTCGTCACACACACCCACCTCGCATCGAGCACTAGTCTAGCACTGAACTCGTAGGGTAGGCCTAAACGCGCATCATCGGCATTCTCGACTGTTGCGGTCTCCCTTCCCCTTAAATTCGACGATGCCAGACGAGGGCGCCACTTTGCCGGAGAGGCCGCGAGATTGTAGGGCAGGGCGGGTGTGCGCATAGTCGTCGGACGGAAAAGCTGAAACGCTTTTTTTTTTTTTTTTTTATTTTTTACGAAGTTGCGAGAGCGCGAACGAATCTCGTTGAAACCAAAATATCTCAATTCTTCTAGTCGCCAATGCTCAATATCAAAACCTATAATTACGTCGGTAAAGTTTTGGTAATTACAAACAGGCCGATTGATGCGCTTCCCTTTCGATGAGTTTTGGAACGGATCGAAACTATTCGACGCGAGATACGATTGGTCCGTTCGTATAATCAATTCGAACAGACCAATCGCTTCGCTTCGATCTTGCTCATTCCGAAACTCGTCGATAGAATAAAGTTTGTCAATGGCCACGTTCAGCAGACTGAGGCCTGGGTTTATGCGGGCAAACAAGGCCTTGTTTTAGCTTTGCGGGTAATAACTGTTAATTTATGCCGGAATTGGTACAGTTCAACTATAGGATTTCAATGCTTCTGTTATATTCTGTTATGCTTCTGTTAATAAACAGAAATATTAAAATCTTAGACCCGCATAAACCAAGTCTGAGCGGATCAGTACACGCGTTTACAGCCAATTTTTTCACTTCTAGATAAGTTTTCGATAACTTTATCTAGAAGATATCTCTCAAAATTGGTTCTTAGAGGAATTTATCCAGAGGATAGCTATCGAGAGGTATGAAGAAATCGGCCGTTAGTGATTCTTTAATATGATTGAATCTTGCCTTTAGATCTTCGCTGGATCTAAGTGTAGAAACCAATCATATCACCAAGCGCTCACTTGATCCGCTCAGTCTGCTGAACATGGGCGATGAAATTTTGTTCAACACTTTATTCAACCTAACCTTATCATCTCGGATTAATTGGCCGAAGATATATACAATCAAAAATAGTGAATAAAATTGGCTTTGAAATCGCAAGTCAATTTGGAATTAACTCAATCGGTTGATTAACCGTTACTCATGATTGGCCCGATTGGCCAACGCGACCAATGCGTTTGGTCAAAGTTTCGTTGAGTTTACACGAGATTGGTTGAACCGATCCCGCAATTACGAGAACACTGACTGACTGACTTTCTCGAATCTCGTGTAAACAGAGCTTAAGGTTTTTAACATAATCGCACATTAGCAAAGGATTGCATCTACAATGAACATTGCTGCGACAGCTTCTCTTACATTTATTTAGTTTTTTCGACATATTTTAAAAACAATAATTTTCAACGTGCAAGAACTTATACAATCGCAACAAACAAATTTAAATGCGATGCCGCTGCTTCTTCGCGTCACGTGAGCCATTTTAGTTCGGCGGCGACGGCACCAGACGGCGCTGAGGAGCGTGGATTCGATTTTCAAGAGTATGAAGATTGTATTGTACTCGGTTATCTCTCACTGGTTTCCTATTTGCTATACGGCTTGTATCACGTACGTTGGAAGTAATACCGAGTATATATACATACATACGTCGATATATACCACCTGCTTGCGACGATTAAGCGTCAGTTGCCCGCTTTGGTGTAACAACCGAAAGGTCACAGGACGTACAGTCGGTTCGAGCGAGTCGAAATAGTGCCGTGAGATTGTCATTTATTATCTATTTGTGCCGCGTTTTCTCTCCCCGAAAGAAAATTCCGAACTTTCTAGACGTTTTTTTTTAAGTACATTTAGCGTCAAAGATGAAGTCAGCCTACGTGATTTGCATATTACTGAGCATAACGATCAGTTCTCTAGCGTTAGACAACACCGATGGTAAGATTGGTAAGTTCACTTTTGACATTTTCATACTAAATATCGCGTATATATTTTACAAAAATACAACGTTGATTTTATATCTTGTATTCGCGCAATGCGCAGATAATTTTATGTTATGATAAACTTGAATATGATATTTCAACGCGGGTTTCCGCGTGTGAATATGATAAGATATTAAAAATAGACTGAAATTTATTTCACACGAGAGCAATCGCTTATCTGCCCTACATTCAATATTGAATTATCGATATATAAATGTTTTCTTCCGTTTGTGATTTCGCGAAAAATTTTTATCAATTCGGTCCGTTGACCAAAAATTGATTTTCTACATTTTGTTTTTTCTCTCTGAATAAGAACAATGTGTATGTTTTTGTTTCTTTTATTATTCGTGGACGCTTTGAGTGGACACAAAACACTTTTTTGAAGTATATACGCAAAACAAGATTAAAACGAAACGGGACTCGCGTTATTGCGGCACTACGGTATGTAATGATTTTTTTTCTTCACGCGCGTTTGACCTTCGTTAGGCAACGGCATTTTCGAGCAGATTCTTAACGCTATTGATTTTCCGCCGACCACACCGACCGAATCTCGCGGACTCGGTTGTATAGAGCCCGATAACGATCGACGTGTGCGACAAGTTACGTACACGGTATATGCTGCTTCGTCGCGTTGTAATAACATTGCAATTGAAAGCGAGCGATACAAATTCGCGCGCACATATTTTCGCACACTCGCTTCTGATATTTTCATACGTGTTACAAACACAGAGAGTTGAAAAAAAACTTTTAACTCGACTGTGTGCGAACTCACGGTTCAGTAAACCGGTTGGCAAAATATTCCGGGTTCGGTCTGGTTAAAAACAGAGAGTTATCAAATAATTTACTTATCATTTGTAATTCCTGTTTGGTTAAAGTTCCTGATAAAGTCCGATATTTTAATCTCTGAATATATATATATGTTGCACGTGACAAAAACGTGCGGCAAATATTAACACATTGAAATGTATCGAACATTTATTATACAATTTTGTTTTGTAAGCTTGAAAAGAAAATTTTACGATAAAATCAAACTTTGAATATTTTATTTCTTTTATATTTGTAATTCGCAATATTATATATATATGAAAATTCAGGAAAAAACGTAATACATTAATTTTACTTCATACATGTGTTTGCAAAATATATAGTTTTCGCTTATCACAAACCGAAATATGCTCAACTGATGGTTGAAATAAATGTTTTATCTGTTTTGGTCGAAAGATATAAATCTAATTAATTACAAAAATTGATATATGAATTCTTTATGTATTCAGCTGTAGCGCAGACACACATAGGTGAAATACAAGCATCCAATGTGAGCAATAAAAGCAATGAAACAACTATCACTTCGCCTCCTTCATCGACTACTAGTAGCACACATAGTAGTACCGAAGTTACTACAGCTTCAACCTCGACTACTACTAATAAGACAACAACGATACCAGACAACACTAGTACAACTGCTGTTCCTACTCCCACTTCTACTACAACTACTACTATTCCAACTACTATTACTCAAAAAACAACAACTGCAATACCAACATCTTCAGTTAAACCTTCTACAGTTATATCAAGTAGCAGCGCACCAGAAGCACCAACAACAGCTGTGCCATCACCTTCCAAGGACCGTCACTTTGATGGACTAAGCTTCTTTGGTATGTGAAACAAAAGCTTCTTAGTATAACATTTATTAATAGACAATATATCTTCGGCTTGTGTTTGATTATAAAAAAAAATTGAAACAACGTTTAATATTGCACAACGGTGGTATATTACAGGATACTAACACTCAGTTATGTACACGTCTTGTTGCAGGTGGCATTATACTTGCTACATGTCTGATGGCAATTGCGGTATTCTCATGGAAATTCTACAGGCAATGCAATCAAGAAAATTATCGTACACTGTGATAACTTTAAATCTTTATTGCAATAGTAGGTCACATGTTCCATTAGTAAGTTATTTGTTTTAAAGTTAATTTAATAAAAAATTATATTGTGAAAATATTTAATAGAGTAGTTTTATTTTTTACAAAAAACAATTGATGACATACATGAAGCTTGAAACAAAAACAACTTACTGGTGGAACACAACTTGCTAGTTACACGTATTAACAAACTTTCGATAATGGCTAATTACTCGAAGTAAGAAACTCTATAAATAATTATTCTGTTACCGTAATAATATTGCGTATTTTTATAACGCAATTAAATGTTTGTGCGTTAAGTGCTCTTAGTAAAGTCATGCGCAATTCTGATTTAGTTTATTTTATTTTTTTTTTTTCTTACAAAAATACATCAAATCTTGTAACTGCAAAATCATGCATCACAAACTTCATCTACTTAAACTGGAACATCTAAATATTCGCATGTCGAAACTTTGGCTGATTTAGTTGCGAGCTTAAAACATGCAAATTTACACCGGCTTGAGAAGTTAAAACGTAACGTTTAGTTTAATGCTCGAGAGTAACACGAGTTGCGTGTCTATTATTCGTTGCACACGAATGCGATCCGGTTCTACGAGTATCTACTTATACTTAGATACGGGTTATTAGAGATATCCATGTAATATCCAAGATGTCCACTATCTCAGAAAAAAATCTCAGGGAATATTTTTCTATTTGGACGTAAGGTCAAGGATTCAGAAAATCTTTTTAAGCAAGAACACCCTGGGGATACGATTAGAACTTGTAGAACTACCAGCCATATGCAACGAGTAAGAAACGGTCAGATATCTACGTAATATGCTCGTGTTATTTTTTTAACTGATTGTATGTTAATTAAACAATAACTATCGTAATTACATTTCCGATTTTACTGTTTGTTTAATTGCATTAAATGTATGAATGTCACATACATTTNTTNTTTTTTTTTTTTTTTTTTGTTTTTCATTTTATTCTATTTGGATTTTATTTTTATCCTATTTTGAATTTTGTTTTGTTCAAGCGCGCGTGGACAAATTTATAACGCATATAATATACATACAGGGTGCCTCCCACCACTACGTTATTTTAATAGCGCATTTCTCAGAGTAAAAAAATGTCTAATACTATATAAAATCTCATATAAACGCGAAATAGAACAATGCATATTTGTAACACGACAAAAACAATGTGACATGTCTTTATAACACGACAAATGCCTTTGTATAATGTATAAATTGGAATTATTAAGTATTCGTAAAGTGTGTGGATGTGTGTTTAGTCAATTTGCTTAAAAGTCTCAATGGACTAACGATATGTTAAAAAGACATGTTAAATAACAATACTCTTTTTTCTATTTGTATTTTCTAATCTAATCTATAAATTTCGAGTTTTCATATATACAACACGTTCTCTCATATAAATTGTATTTCTTGCGTTATACGAGGATCGACTATATTTCCAATATTTTTATTATTTGAATATTTTATATAGTTTTTGAGTTATAAATTATATGAGAGGTTATCAAATGGTACTAATAAAAATTTCAGTAACGTGAAACGTGAAGAACATGTCATTTCTTAAATTTGCTATAGTCTTGTACAAATTTATCTTTATCGAAGCTTCACACACTGTTGCAGTATTTATTTCTGTTTGCACCTTGTATATCTCTAAAGGTGAACTATTCAAAGTGTGCAAGAGAAACTTCTGGTATTTCAATAATAAACACTTTCATTCGTTTTACGTCACACGTCTACAACTCACTGATGTATAACAGAAATGAAAAGTTGATCAACAGTTTGTGCAGCAAGAAGAAAAAAATTAAGTTTACGCCTAGAATGTGCATTTACTCCTTTCACTCCTTTAGCAGCGTCTATTCTCCGATGCTTATCACGGTATCAGCAAAAAATGCAATGACGTCTTTTTTCAGCATTAACAGAAAAACAATTCACACCAATGGTTATAGATGTAAGAGAAAATAACAGCAAGGTAAAAATAAACAAAATCACAGCATAATGGTGCTACGAGCTTAACTCGAGGTTTTGTAAAATCTAAAAAATTTATAATGTATTATATATACATATATGTATAAGGTTTCAAATAAAGTATATATAATTGTACATAATTTTTGTGTTATATATATTTTTTTTTCATCTTATTCGACATTCAAATAAAAAAACACATTTGCTCGTATACATGCTATTATTTGTTTTCTCAGTCAATATACTTTTCTGACGTCGGATTCCTGTGGAAAAATAAATGATGAAAATTTATAAACAGTATGTATAATAATAAACGATAAATAACATATTACGTGTTATTAAATAATCTTCGATTTTCCATAACCCAATACCAACATCATGTATACGTATGTGAATACAAAAAAACTGTTTAATCTGAAAGTGGAAATGTTTTTTTTTTATAACGTATTTAATATGGTTTTTGCAATCCATCCTGAAATCCACCGTTACGAAATACGAAGAGAGAATAATGCGTCGTATAAGTTTGATAATAAAAAATGTGAAGCAAAAATAAAAAACGCACCGTGGAAACTCCACGCGAGCAAGCATGTAAGTACGCCGAAATGCCTATTATCAGGGACAGAGTTTACCGTGAACGTTGATTGTGAACAAAAAGCGCATTACCAACAATGTTCGCGGAGTGGCAATAATTGCACGCAAATTGACGAGACAATGTCTGTTTCAACAGATTGTGCTATTACGCGGTATCAAACCTCAAGAAGCAAACAAAAGAATGAGTAAAACGATTTTAATACACCGACAGACCCGAATAACGCGATCATTCATTTCCATCGGAATTAATCGGTCAATTAAATTACTTATCTAAGATGCCGAAAATCTGTAACGGGAAGATCCACGTGGCGGTTGTTAAATAAATTATTTTTTTACAATTCTTATAGTAGAAAAATTTATGATTTTTAATTTTGATCTCGATTTGCGCGCGATGCGTTTAATCACTTTGCGTGAGAAAAAATGGATATTTACTTTATCTCTAAAAAAAATCGTCGCTATTTGAGATGTAAATTGTCGCGTGCTGTGGACAAAAAAAAAAAAAAACGACAGACAACAATGTAAAGTATGCATATAAATTTGCATATAAATATATCCTTTTTTTTGCAAAATTGAATACGTATATGCATTTGATTATCTATATAAGTACGTGCGCGTACTTTGCTGCCGCAAAGTTACATCCTAGTTTCGAGCAGCGTAGTTGACTATCGGAGCGCAGCAGCCGCGCATGGACCGTACCCTCCGTGTGTCATCACAGGATAACCGATCTATCGAGATATGCGACGTCGACCGGGGCTTGCTAAACCCTCGCAAATGTTCATGCGCGTGGTGCGTCGCTGAGAGAAATTTATCGAAAAAACTCCATGGTGGGACACTCCGAGAACAGGTAAATTCATACACACACACATCGTTTTTTACATCTTGCATTACGATGACATAATGGTTATTATCTCTATTGCTCCGTTCCTCCCGTCCTGTCGTCCTTTTCTCATCTCACCCTCTCTCTTCTTCGACGAGTCTCTCATTCACTCCCACTCCCTTTTTTTTTTGTTGCGACATTCCCTCGCAATCCTGAGGCCGGCCGAGCGAGCATCATTTTTATTGGCAGATTATAAATCTCGGATTAGATTCTCGGGCTGATAATACACGAGGAGGAGACGTGCGCGACGTTTTGCGAAAGCACCCGCGATCGATAGCACAACCGAAATGCTAAAAGCGAGCTTGAAAAGAGCCGCGGTTGATTCTCGCGTAGGTGGCGGTCCAAAACGTGGTGAAGCTGCTCCGCACGTTTATCTCATCCCTGTGTCTTAGAACCCGGCTGGCTGTCAAAACGAAGTGAATAGCTCGCGTCACGCGATACGCACACGCGCACGCACGCGTGCGTGTCCGTGTACAGAGGCCGTGTATTAATTATATTTGCCGTATAAATTTCCAAAGAATGTTTTTTTTTTAGATTTTTTTGACATTTCTTTTCCGGAGCAGCGTGAGAAAAGGTTCGCATCGAGATGTTTTTTTGTGCAAAATTATTCCATATGTGTGATCCGGAATCGTGAATCTATCTCCGCAAGAATGTAGAATTGTCTCGGTTCATCATTGAACAGTTCGAATCATTAAATTTAATCAACGTTGCGCAACCGAATGGTGAAATAAGTTTGTTTATTATTACTCGTATTACGTGAACATTTTTATACACGATTGATAAACTCTTTGCTCGAATATTTTACTTTGTCCTTTCGTGGTACTATATATGTGTTTAACGTACACACCTGTCGTTGCATGTGATTGACTGATACCAATGTGCAATCTTGTTCATTGAAAATGTAAAGCGAAGGTGACACACGCATGTGTTTTATATTAATATTATTATATATTATATTATACCAATAATAATACTACGACGTAAATTAACAATTAACTAACAACGCAATATATTTGATCCACTGTGATTATTGTTGCTCTCGAAATGTCACGCCGCGCGCGTATAATTTTACGGAGAGCAATTCATTTTCGCCCCCCCCCCCCGTCGCATTGCAAGAGTGACAATTAAATATACATATTTACGTATTAACACACGTAATGTATACTTTTTTTTATTACGAGGTCGATCATTGGTGAGAGAACCCTTTGATTAACCCTCGCAAAGGATGATTGCTTCTGAATTACGTTACCACTGCGAGCTAGGGGGAGTGGATTTAATCCACGCGAATGAGTGGTAGCTGGTGCTAGACGTCTGATCGAGAATCCTGTCCCGGAAGTGTGAGAAAGAGGAGAGAGGGAACATGATGAACACACCGAGAGAGCAAAATGTTTCCTTCTGCTCCGTTGAATTGCTCTTAACAAGACGTATCTCGTCACATGCCGCACACGATAAGTCCGCTTCGCCGTACGTTTCAAATCGGTAATTTCATATCTTTTCGTTTGCACGGAAGACGGAACGCGCGTTGGATCGAATCGAATTAGATCGTTAGTCAATTGATTGATGTGCTTCATCTGAGAATTAGTGCATTGTGCGGTGTGTATATATGCGTAAACACACAATCGACTGTGACACGATGATCCGTCGCATACGTTTTATCTTCAGGTAACGTCAGATTCCTCTCTCGCACAAATCTCTCTTTCCAAGCAGATTACTTTTTGAAGACACTGTGTTGAGTCAACACAGTTACGAATCGTGATTATTTCTCGCTTTTCGTTCAAGAAGAAAGCGATGATATTTTTTTTTCTGATTATGTTTGTGTCGCAATTCTTTTAAGCAAAAGAAACACCGCCGAAGGTTTTCATCTCTCTCGTGTTAATCGAGTTTCCGTGGATTTCTTTATTTTTTTTTCTCGGCAAAGAGGAGAGAAAGAGAGAAAGTCTCGTAATTTCGAGTAATTTGCATAATTAATAGAAATATTCGAATGATCACCGCGCGTCGCAGAACTTGGTGGGTGAGTGGGCGGCACAGGCCCGGGAAATCCGGCATGAGATCTGATCGATATTTCCACGCTGACTGTATATATATATATATATGTATTATATTTGTATATATATAATATCAATTTCCCCTTTACAACAACGCTTTTATTTATATCCCCATCTCAAAATGTGACAAACTGATAAAATCGATACGGAGAGGCAAAAATAAAGCACGCGCATTTTAGACATTTCTTCAGAGAGTTTGACGACTTGTTACAGAATCAATCATCTCTGAAACACCGACGGAGACGGGAGATAATATCATCTGTGCACGTGTACAACGGAGATTGAGTGGATAATTTCAAAGAGATCTCGCGAAACGATGACGAGGAACATGAAGACGAGGATGATGATCATTGGCGCGAGTTCCAACTGCTGCGCAAGGCGTACATGCGATAGATGGTTACGCTGGATCATCGTTGTCCTCTGGTGCGTCACGGTGACCTGCAGTTCAAGAAGCAAATATAACAAGCACAAACCTCAGAGTCTCAAAGGTCTGATCAACATGACGCAGTCGTCTCATGTGAACCAGTGCAACCTAGATCCGAAGTGCGACTGGTTCTGGAACGAAACCAATGGTTTTAAGAAACACGAGGCGCAACCCTCGGACATTAATGATCCAACCATGAGATATCCGACCACGGATGCCAGCAACTCTTCGCACGGTATAAAACTTTAAAAACGTTTTTTTCTTTTTTCGTAAGAGAAGCAAAGTCGAGTAGTAAAATAACAAGCAAAAAACATACGCGTTGATTTTTTACAGGACACTTTCTGTGGTTTGATTCCGGTCCCGGACACGTTCTTATATGGTCTAAGTTTCTAACTCGACCGAACTGCGAAATTGAATTCTGGTCGTATCAGTTGCAAATGAAAGGTGGACACATAAATCTCATCTTAGAAAGTAATAGCACGACCTTGAACGCGGTGACCTTGTTAGGAAATGATAAAGCTAAGTGTGTAATATGAATAGTTTACTCCGTGTAAATAATACTGATGTCTCTGGGAAAAGATCTAACGTTGTTTCGAACGTTGTTACAGATGGGAGAAATATTACTTTAAGCTACGCGAAACCGATACTGCTTACAAATTAGTTTTAGAGATCTTTGTGCCCAGCAATAGCTCAGGAATTGGAATCGACAATATTCAACTTAAAAACTGTATCAAAGGTAACCCGTGATAATAACAGTGATAAAAGGAAGATCGGTTTCGAGCAAAAAACAGATAGTCGATAATAGAGAGAAATCAAAGATATATTTCAAATAAAAAGAGTGATAAGGCCCTAAAGAAACAATCTAATAAAATGGGAAGGTTAATGGAGCCAATAAGAGCCTAAACACGGATATTGGTGTGTGGAAATAAGTGATTTGTTAATAACGTTTCGATCCTACCCGGTAAAAAATTTTTTATATATACTTATACACAAATTAAAATAATTATATCTAATTGTGCAAATTTATATGCCGAATATGTCCATACAATTTTATACACGGAGAATTTCTTTTTTTTAAGAGAATGGCTTCAGAGATATTCTAAATCAAATTACAAAATAACTCTATCAGTATCATGTTAGATACAAAAAAAGTATATAAAACTATATTTTTACTATATTAAAAAAAAAAGTTTGATATATAATCATATATACTTATACACAAATTAAACTTGTTATATCTAATTATGCAAATTTATATACCGAATATGTCCATACAATTTTATACCGGGAAATTACATGGAAAATTTTTTACCGGGTAGTTTTGGATCATCTTCAGAAACGAGAATAGGCTGTTAATAATTGCGCGTCGTGATACGCTCAAAGTTAACTTGAATCAAAATATATAGCTTGTCACTCTTTTAACACTGTTGAAAGTCAAGTGACACTTTCTATTTTGATTCAAGTTAACTTTGAGTGTTAACATGACGCGCAATTATTAACAGCCTATTCTCGTTTACTGAAGATGATCCAAAACTAGGATCGAAACGTTATCAATAAATCACTTATTTCCACACACCAATATCCGTGTTTTAGGCTCTTATTGACCCATTAACCTTCTCAAAAATATATTTCGTGTTATAACAAAGATGTGAAACGTTTCGAGATTCTTACGTGAGTCTTCTTCTTACGCCGTCGGGTTGCCACAGGGAATAAAAAGGTCAAACGCGATTCAGTTTGACTCTGAATACATTGATCTTTTAACTTTCTGTGACAATCCGGCGGCAACTTGATAACGTGCAACTTGATTTTGACTTTACAAGCGCACATTTTACTGAAGAATTTTTCTGTATCTCGCACCTATATCTTATTCGGTCGAAACCGATCTTTCTTATCACTGTCATTGTTCAAGAACGGACGATTTAATAATTTCGAAATTTAGCTCATTCTGACACATTGTATCGTAAAGGTTGAGATTTAAAAGAAATTACAATTTTTCTTAATTTTGTGTAGATCTTACGTCGGTCAATGTCACTTGTACGAAGAACATGTTTTATTGCAAAAACGGCACTTGCCTGAACAACACTCGAATTTGCGACTTCACGAAAGATTGCATGGACGGCGAGGACGAAGAGGAGGCAGATTGCGGTAAGTAAAATTCGTCAGTTTGAAATTTTGAATATTTCTATATTTTTATAATACAGAAAAAGAGAGAGAGAGAGAGAGAGAGAGATTTTTTTATTTTCGTTAAAAGACTAAAATTCAAGCGAGATTAAAAACTTTCTACAGACAAGATACCCACGAACGCCAGATGCAACTTCGAGAACGGTTGGTGTGGATGGGCAAATGTTCCTGGGAGACCTTTAAATTGGACTCTCAACAGTGGTCCCACACCGTCCGAAAAGACCGGACCGAGCTACGATCACACTTATCGAAATAAAACAGGTTTGATCTGTCAAAATGAGAGGAAGTGCGTGATGATAATAAATTTGTTATTTATTTCGCAGGAACGTACGTGTATGTGAACATGGCAACTAAAATTAACGGCAAGCCCTCCGAATACGGCAGCCGAGGCACTATTCAAAGTACATTGTACAATCCGACACCACCTTACAGCAGCGATCGTAAAAGTCCTTACTATCACTCATGCCAAGTATGTTTGTAATTTAATTCGCGCTGTTTTTTTTTTTTTTTTTTTATAATATTGAAGGCCTTTTGAAATTATATTTAATAACTGTCAGGCGCACAGTTTTTTTTTTTATTTCATATATCTAATTTCCTCTCAAGCAATTTTTTATGAACTTTTAACTGTTCTTTCTTGGCGAATGTTTTTGTTTATTTTTTTCTTTTTTTTTTTTAGATACGCTTTTTCTATCACAAGTACGCACCGACTAGCGCGTCTCTCGGTCTCTTCTTGGTTCAGGTAAAACCGCACGAAAATATCACCGAAAAGTTATGGTGGTCCTATGGATACGACATGAGGGACGCTTGGGCGAGCGCGGTAGTTTCTCTACCTGAAATAAAATATAGGTAAAATAATGCAAACAATTTTTCGACGACCAAATCGCTCATTGTAATGTCTTGTATCCGTCCGGAGAGCTGAGAAATTAAATTTTAATATGACACATATATATTACAGGTATTATTTACAATTCGAAGCGGCCAAATCGTTTTCCGGAAAAAGCGAGGTGGCGATTGACGACATTTCCTTGAGTCGAGAATGTTTCGCCATCGGTAACTTCAATTAACTAATCTTGTAGTATAGCGATGTATTCTCGTTTTCTCGGTACTTCGTAAAAAGAAATCTTCTGTGTGCGAAACAATATCTTATCTTTCCTTTGTAGGAGTTCCGAAGGAAATAGTTAAAGACTTTGATTATTACAATCCCAATATAGAACACGAAAAAGTACTGCCGCAATATCCGGATTTTTCAAACAAGACAGGTAGGCGCGAAAGAAATCAATGTGTTCGCGCGATTTAGTCAATATATACACTGAGAAAAAAATACTATTAACTCAACTAAATGCGTTTCAGTTGAGTTTCAGTTTGTTATCTGAAATATCTTGTTTTTTTAATTCAAGCAATATCGTAATAAAGATAACAAATTCGTATAAGTTGAATTAACAATAGTGGTAATGAAAACATATTTAATTCACTAAACCATGAATTGTTTTGTCGAACATAAGTTGTGATCAATTTCAAATAAAAGATACTGTTAAAAAAGATGAAATAGGCAATTCTCATTTACTTTAATTGAATATAATCTGAATTTCTTCGTACCAAGTATTTCATCTAATCAAACTGCTTATTTTTATAAGCAGACAAAATATTGTGTTGTCCTATTGCGTTGTACATTCAAAGTTGTACCTGTATTTAAGCAAATTATAATTTTGTTAAAACAACTAAATTGTCTTTCGGTATAAACCTAATTATTATATCTATTGAAACGTGATATCTTCTTACATTAATCAATATTTCATTGACAGCCCGTGACCCGCTGCATATAGTTGAATTAAATACTATTTTGTTACTTCAACAACTTTTTTTTCTCAGTGTACACAAATGCTTGTTGCACAAACAAAGTAAAGATATTTTTCTTCATTCTTTATTTCACTTTATTGTCAGTTATTCGAGTCACTACTTGCGGAGCGACCGGCAGATTTGGTCCGACCGCCGAGCAATGCGCTGGAAAGTACAGTAACAAATCTAATGTGGAATTCGTTGCGCCGACATCGATGTTCGATCAAAAGGACGCGCCAGTCTTTAATTTGAGTGGAATTCAACGCTGGACCGCGCCACGTGGTGATTATTACACGTTAGTAGAGATTTAAAAAACTTGTTTTTTATTAAATACGAAAAAGAGAGAGAGAAAGAGAGAGAGAGAGAGAAAGTGTGTGTTGTGTCCAAAGATATAGACTTTCAGATTATTTGACCAATTAAATTGTTCTCGCAACAGATTGATAGCCATTGGGGCACGAGGAGGAAGGGGTTCGAGTGGCAAGGGCATTAGTTTGGCTGCTCTTGCTCGCGGTGTGATAGAGCTACAAAAAGGTGACGAGCTGTACTTCATGGTTGGTCAACAAGGAACGGACGCGTGTCACAAAGTGAGCGTGTTAATAATAATATACGATAGTATATAGAAATATATTAGTAGATAGTATAGAGAAAAATTTTCTTTATTTCGATAACGCGGAAACAATTTTTCTATATACAACAAAATTTAATTTTTTTTTTCGAGGAAATTTGAAATTGTGGAATATATCTTATTTTGATCGTTCTATATTTTTGTTTGTGATAATTATTTAGAATCTCGGCTTGCGGATAAGAAGTTGTACGAGACCAAACAACACGTCGGAAATGCACCGCGATGCGTCCTCGACGGTGCGACAAGTGCAGAGACTCGAGTTCAAGAATGGCGGTGGCGGTGGCGGTGGCGCAACTGCTATTTTCATGGTGAAATAATAAAAGCGCTAAGATCTTGTATTTTTTTAGTACAATAATAAGCGCGTTCTTATATATTATTCGTATTTATTATTGATTTCATAGATTAAAGCTAACGGCGAGCTAGAACCTATATTGATTGCGAGTGGCGGCGGTGGTTTGGGTCCAGGACCTTCTACGGACAACGGACTACAACACGGATACGGTCCTTATTCTAAAAAACATAAATTTCTTAATATATCTGCCAAAGACAGAGGTGACGGAAACAAAAAAAAAAAAAAAAAAACGTTTTTACATAAAATGTTCAAGTTGCGTGTGAAAAAAAAACGTCAAATTGTCTTGATCTCGAATAGGCGGATATGGTGGCGGTTGGAATACAACGTGGGTCAACAATTCCTACAGCAACGTCGAAGGAATGCCACTGATTCACGGTGGTTTGGGAGGAATCGGTTGCGAAGTGTCCGATAGTCCAGTCGATGTGTACAATTACGGAAACGGTGGTTTCGGTGGGGGTGGTGGCGGTTGCCACGCATCAGGAGGTGGCGGCGGTGGATATTACGGTAAGATAAAACCATATCTCTCAAACACGTGGGTGAAAATGATAAAAATCTCGTTGATAAATATCTCGCATGTGTGTAATCATAATTACACGATTTGTCTAGAATTAGTCCGATACGGTATTGTTTTTTTTTTCTCAGGCGGACTAACAACGGATATCGGAAATGGTGGCGGTGGTTATTCGTACGCCAATCAGAGGCTCTTGCACGTTACTTTCAAAACAAGAATTCATTCTGGTTCGGGTGAGGTTACCGTTATACCTGCGATCAGCGGCTGTGGTTGTAATTATCGTTGTATCGCTCTCGATCGATTTCTGTACGCAACCGAGTGCCTTTGTCCTCAGGGTTGGTTTCTCAGCAACGACTCCAGGTCCTGTGTCAGTAAGTAAAACAGAATTCTGCCGTTATAGCGTAAACATTAAGAACACTAACGAGCAATTGTTTCTTCCACGCAAATGTTTTTTAAATGAAATAAAATTTTATCGTGATTTTACAGTGATAGACGTTACAAACATTGAACAGCAGACGTACATGATCCTACTTATACTCGCAGTCACTAGCCTTTTCGCCATTACCATAATTGGCCTAATAATATATTGTAAGTTTGCACACAGAATGCATTATTTCATCTTACGTATTGTCTGTTAAAGTTCAAGAACGAAAAAAAGAATAAAAAAAAATTTTCAATCCACAACAGACAGACGCTATCGAAATAATCAACCGTTTATGTTTCGCGGCCAAGCAACGTCTAGCAACGGAACGGAATTGACCGCTCTACGTACGGTATCGGAGACAATACTGACCGAATTCAATCCCAACTACGAATTTGCCGGCAATCTTTACAGCTTTAAAGATTTGCAACAAATACCCCGGGAGTGTATTGTATTGGTGAAGTTAGTTAAAAAAATATATATAGAATAAACAATTATTTATTTAATTAACTTTGAAGCACAAAACAAAAACATGAAAAAAAACAAAACCAATCTTGATCGCAGACCGCTTGGCCAGGGCGCGTTTGGTGAGGTTTATCAGGGCATATGCACCTACCCGTCCGACGACGAGGGACAACCTGTCGCTGTAAAAACGCTACCGTCTCTATCCACGTCTTTGGCGGAGGCTGATTTCATGATGGAAGCATTAATAATGAGCAAATTCAATCATCCGAATATAGTCCACTTTATCGGCGTTTCGTTCGAGAAGCATCCGAGATACATCATACTCGAATTGTTAGCAGGAGGCGACCTGAAAAATTTCTTACGCGAAGAAAGACCTCGATCGGTGAGTTTTTTTTACGAAGAGATTACCCCATTTCTGTGTAAAAGAAAAAATTGTATTTTTATAAACGATAGATTGTATTATTTATCTAATTGATTTTTATAAACGATAGATTGTATTATTTATCTAACTGATCGCGCGCGCAGGACCGACCCACAACACTGACCATGGTAGATCTTATTATGTGCGGCTACGACGTCGCGAACGGCTGCAAATATCTGGAGGAGGCGCGTTTTATACATCGAGACATAGCCGCGAGAAATTGCTTGCTGACCACGAAAGGACCGGGACGTACCGTCAAAATCGCTGATTTTGGGATGGCGAGGGACATTTATCGAAGCGACTATTATAAAAAGGGCGGCAAGGCCATGCTGCCCGTTAAGTGGATGCCACCTGAGAGCTTCTTAGATGGCATATTCACTACGAAGACCGATGTCTGGTGAGAGACACCGCATTGATTGCGCAATTAAGAAATAAATCCATTATCTAGAGAGCCCTTCGGAGCCATTAGTGCGGATTACGATGTTTTTTAGGGCCTTCGGAGTGCTTCTTTGGGAAATCATGTCGTTCGGTTACATGCCCTACACCGGTTGCGCGAATCGAGAGGTCATGTCTATGGTGGCGTCCGGCGGTCGTCTCGAAAAACCCCCGGGATGTCCGGATCCTATTTACGGGATTATGACGCGGTGCTGGCACCCGCGACCCGAAGACAGACCGAAATTTTCCACTATCGCCGAAAGACTCGGCTATTGCTTGCAGGTTGGTATAATTAAAAAAAATATGTATACGACGAAGATATACGCGTCAGATTGCACGAAGAAAGAAAATAAAATTTTCGTGCGAAGGATCCTGACGTGGTGAATCATCCCACACCGAATTTCGATACATTGCCGATCTGCGATCGGGATATAACAACAATCATGAGACCAGACCCGGAAGCGGAATGCATCAACGTTCAGACCAATGTCGGTACAGTTTGTAAAATGAGATAGAAATATATGTTGTTTTTTTTTGTTTTTTGTTTTTATTGAACGCGCGTAGAAAGACCTTCGAATCTGTCCAACAGCACGACAGATGCGGAAACACGCAACCGGTAGTCATGGATCCTCTGTCCATTGGACTTTATGTGGATCAAATTGTGAACACGACTTATAACATGGAAAATCGAGAGTCAAATAAAAACAACGACAAATTGTGCGGCGGAACGACCGCCGAAATCAAGAAAAAGAAATATCAACAGGAAACATTTAGCTACAACAGTTTCGATCATTTTTGCAACAATCATGATAACCACGAAACCGAGACAACCGACACTTGCGAGGTATCCTCTATCACTCTTTGCTGCACTCTTTGCTCTTACCTACTTGAAAAACTCCTTTTTTGTCGCTTCTCATTTTAATTTGTTTTTAATCGCTCCAAATATTCTTATTGAACAATCGATGTTACAACTTTGACAGGAGGACGGGCAAGAGATCGACCGATCGGATCAGCAAGACACCAAGACAATACACTCCAGCACCATCGAAGATTGCGACAATATGGATAACAGCAATGATTGCTCGGAGGAAAAGCGTCACCTAATTAGCACTAATCACGACATGATAATAGATCACAAGATTGACAATGATAGTACAACGACTAGCGATACGAATTCCGACTCTTTGATAGTGCAGTCTTCGGACACGCCGCCCGACGTGACAACGAACTCATCGCCTAACACGGGCAATTGCTCACCAAGTCGTATCGCAAGTCTGAATGCCAACGTCAACAATGATGACGATGAGGATTACAGCAGCAGCAACGATCAGCAGGAACAACCTCAGCGGTGACGATAGACGCGCTAATCACAGAAAACTATTATTCTCGCAGGCTTCAGCGCTTTTATATAAAAGCCTGATAACACACAAACTCTCGCGCGTCATTTCCTATCATACTTCGAAAGGACCGTCCTGTAAAACGAGAACACAGGAAACGCCTCTTTTAGGCCAAATGGTTGTATTAAAAAAAAAAAAAAAAAAAAAAAAANGAAAACTATTATTCTCGCAGGCTTCAGCGCTTTTATATAAAAGCCTGATAACACACAAACTCTCGCGCGTCATTTCCTATCATACTTCGAAAG